TTTTTAATGAGGAGATGAATTTTACAGCTGACAGACTCAAAAATAGGCAGAATTATGTTCAACAAGCATTCCATCCTGAGGGTTTTTTTTTTTTAAGCTTCACAACAACGATTTCTATTTATCTCAGGTTATGCAATATTCAGTGACTGGAAGTCTAGTCTGTGTCAGAATTCACACATTGTTCTGCACCCCATCTTCCAGGTTGGTTATCTGTTGCAATCTTAGCCTTAACTTAACATTTAAAAGCTTTTTGCTGGCCCACAGTGCTCAGACATTAATCACCACCTCACTTGCCCACACATTAATGGCATTTATTCAGGAGGAAGGAGTGACCTCACTCCACTCGTGCCCAGGAGTTGGGTTCTGCTTCCAAGAGGTGCCCAATTATCAAAAAGCAGGAATGTCTTTAGATGAGCTTGTCCTAAATGCTTTAGATGTGAAAGTGGAACACAGAAAAAAGACTTGTGGAAGGCTGAGGAGAGATGATTTGCCCAAATGGACTCTGCTCACCCAGGTTCCAGCCACAGCAAAGTGGATTCTTACAGCACCAGGATTCTTACAGCACAAAATAAGGCTGGAAGGTCTACCTGTGTAAATTCACTATAAAAGGAGAAAATTCAGAGTCTTCAGACCCCTGCAGAAAGGCACTGGAATTTACTCCCTTTGTTTCCCCTCACAGATTATCTGGGATCACCTCAAACAGAGATATTCTGGCATGCTCTGACCAAGTGAAAGACTGTCTTTTCCCTTAAAACCCTTCGTTCTGGGTGTTTTTTTGGGGGGTATGGGATCAAATCTACCAAGAGGTTTTTAATACTAGACATTACATGGCTCTGTAAGTCCTTGACACTGACAGTGAAGTAATTAAAGATTGTTACAAAAAAAACCCAAACAAACAAACAACCAAAAAACACCCAAAACAAACAAACAAACAAAAAACCCCTAATCCTACAACTTTAAAAATTAAACAGGAATCATCTTTAACCTTTTGAAAAACTGAGCATAGTTTTTCCAGGTTCAACTACAGTAGGAAGAATAGTTCAACAATTTTAACTTGTTTTAATTGTTCTTTACTACTCACAGGCATGAAAAAAAAAAAATCTGTAACCTAAAAATCCAGACTACTTGTCCATTGGAATAAATTTGAACTCTAAATTATGAGCTCCTAACCCACCCTTTATCAATCTGGAGAGAATTAAACTTCATATTTTAAAAGAGTCCTTTAATTTTTCGCTAGCTGGTAGTGAATGCAACTAAAGAGTCTGGTGGGGATTTTAACACCTGGAGTCACCAAATTGTCACCCTTAGGTGGAAACTGGAGGACTTGTGGGTCAAGTGGAGAACAAAATACAGCAAAATATTAGGTTATGCTTCTGTTTGGAATGTTTGGAAGTGTCAGTGTGTGGAATTGTTCCATATAGGAGAGGCAGATTTTACTTTTTGTTGTTTCTGCCAAAAGGGAACAACCAGTCAAATGAAAATATTGATCTAAAATCTCTCCATGCACTGCACATAAGCAGCAGAATGGTCTAGTGCATGAGTACACTTCACAATGGAGTTCCAGGGATTAATGAGATTAATGAGATCACTGGAGACACTGGGCAAACTGGCAAGTCTGTTCTTTCTCATGAAGCTGTGCAAATAGAAATGAATCCACGCTCATTCTTAGGTCTCAGACTGAGATTGCAACATCTGCAGGGAAAGGGAAAAAAAATCTGTAACAAGCAGCTCAATGGTCCATAAGCCATTACAACCATAGCTGAGATAAATTATGACTGAAATTAAGGGGAGTGAATAAAATTTTCTAGACATGAATCTAAGGTACCCCAAAAATAACCAAATACTTTCAGAATTATAGCCCCTAATTGTGGTTTGATCAGTCTCTAATTCTTACCATGCAAAATTCAAACCTCAGGAACTAGAAGTAGAATCAGGTTAAGCAGACAGGTATTTTCTTTTCTTCTCTTCTCTTAATTTGCATTATGTATGACCAGCAACATGGTCTCAATTACTTTTATGTGCACCAAAACTGTTCCAGAATTAGCAGAGGAGGGAGTAACTAAATGGAAAGAAAAGGGAGTAGAGTTGATGAGGGCAATTCAGAATTAGTTTTGTCAGCAGCATTTCTGGCTTCTGAGAACCTGAAGGGTCTCGTTTCTGAGATGTCAAGCCAGTAGTGGGGGAGCTGCCAAAAATAAAAGACAACTTAAGAATAAATATAAATCCCATCTAGTTTAGAAGAACTCGTCATAGGGTAAGAGTTTCCCACAGGACTGAGCACAGTCAGAGGAATGATCCTCCTGAGGATGTTTCCGTTCCAGAGGAATCCCCCTGCAAAACTCCAATGTGTCATCCCAGAGCCTCCATCCCCAGCTGCCAGAAAGAGCCCTGTGAGAAAATGACTACCCTGACATTTCCTTCTGAGGCCTCTTCTTCCTCATTTTCTGACTACGGAGCCTCTGCCTGGGCGTGTGAGTCAGTGCCACGAGCAGGACTCATTGTAGGGTGGATTCTGAGGTAGAAATACAATTTTTCTGCCAATTCTTTCTTCTTTTTCTTCTTCCAAGGTCGGGATTAAATGTGTGAGATGGTATTTCTTTTTCAGACTCAGAGGTTTGTTAGTTCTTATCTATATTACAGTCTCATAAAGTATGAGTTCTGCAGCGCTTCACTCTAACAAACTAAAAACGGAGCCCCATCTCTCTCTCCACAAGGTCTTTGAAGGATAAACTGTCCAGTTAAGAAATGACACCTCAATTATTTTACTTTTAACTCAATAACCAACCACTCATGCCCTGCAATGGGGACTTTTTTATCCAATCATACAAACCACCCAAACCCGTGGAGAAGAAGGTGAAGAAGCACCAGCTTCTGCCCTAAAACCTCCATGTTACCATATATATATTACTATATTCTAAAACATTAAACTCTAAGTTTTCCACCATGTGGTATTACACACTTCTATTCAAACTCCACACCCACAATCCCAGTTCTGTCATTCAATTTTGGAAGCCTTCTCCATGGCCTCAGGTCAAATGCAGAGTTCTCTTGGGAGTCAGTGCCTGTCAGCACAGAAAGTCTGAAATTCTCAGTAACCAGAGTTCCAACACTTTTCCATGGATTTCTATACCCCACTTACTCCTGCTTTATCCAGATGCCTTCAGCAATGTTTAACAACAGGACTGCCATCTGCCATGTACCTGCTCCCTCCTCTCCTTGCCAGTGGGAGAAGTGGAAACAGTGGAGTGTGTTTTATAACACACCCTGCCCCGCAACATGTGCACAAAGGCACCCAGAGCTCTGCATGTAAATTAGAGAAAGATCAACATCCCAGACTTGCTCTCTGAACTTTGTCTGGACGGTTGTGACATTTAGGATGGTCCCCAGCTTCTTGGGAGGACATGGGGAGACATGCAAGGAGGTGAATTTTACCCTCATTATAGAGCTTGACCACACCACGGGAGGATCCTGCATCACCCTGGCCAAAGATGTTTCTTCTGTTATTAACAGAAGGTGATGATTAAGGGTTGCTCTTGAAAGCCCAGGAGCATGTCTAAAGTCAAGGCAAGCTGTAGGCTTGACTGTCCTCTAACCAAGGGAGTTAAAATGAAAGATTTTATGACTTCTGTCACATAATATGAGCTGTGCTTTGGAAACACCCAGGCTCCAGAAAACAGTGCATATGAAGGAGCTGCTTTACAGTATAAATGGGCTGAATTAAAGTAATCAAATCTGTAGGAAGTGGGTATAAAATATGGTCAGTATTCTGAATGAAACTGTAAGAAACCTGGCCTTTTTTGTACTCAGGCTACTCAGGATTCTAATGCTCTCCTCAAAGTGCTGGTCCATGGGAGTTTCCAGGCCTTGATTCTCCAAGGAATCCCAAAAGAACAGCAAAAGCTGCAGAGAAAAAAATGACAGCAGGGTAGTTGTACTCAGAGGACCTAATTCCTGTTATTCACTTAATGTATGATTCACTTTATTATCTCTCTGTGCCTGTATCTTTCTCTATTCTTGGCCTGCTTAGACTGAACCTTCTCAGAAACACCAATCATATTTGGACACAATCACTGCCATCTTTCAATAAAACTTCTTCATTTTGGAGAAGGAGTTGGGCACTAGGTAGGTGCTTTGGATAAGAACTCAGGAAAATGGAGTTACTTCTCAGGGGGAGCACAAGGTTCCTGCATGAATTTCATCACAAGGCTCCTGCACGAACTTCATCAGGTATTTAGCTGGACTTCCACTTTCCACATGTAAAACAAGGAGTTTTGCTTAATTTCTGTGTCTTACCAAGCTGGATTTGAAGCTCTGTGGTACATAGACCTCTAACAAAGTATATTTATCTACATGCAGGACCAGGAACAGGGGGAGCTCAGGCAGTTTCTGGCATGGGGCTGTTTTACATCTTCTGGTTAGGACTGAGTTTTGCCCAGGGCTGAAGGTTTGCACGTTGACTTGCACCTTTTTTCCCAAGCCTGGAAGACAAGCCAGCTTTGTAATTCAAAACCTCATTCAAGTTCACCAATGCTTCTGAACTTCTTGGG